GACTAGAAAAAGTAAAAATACCAGTTCAACAAGATTTTTTCGAATTTCACATGAATGTGAAAGAGTTTTGGATATATTTCGTGATGCCTGAAAATGCCAAATATTTTTAATGTGACTGAGTTCTGTAAAGGGGTAGAGGGGACTCTCAAAGCACTACTAATGACGGACTGATTTACCTATATTTTTGACTGTGGTTTTGCCTCTTTGGCAGATAAGCTTCAACTCTCTATTTTTAAGATGTGGGTGTAATAATAATAATACTAATACTAATAATGATAATAATAATTTATAGACATATTGTGCAATTATCAATATAAGAATTTTTAATTGTGCATTACAATTTTAAACATTAACTACCTTAAAGTTACTAAAAACTGAAAAATAAAAATGTTCACTAAGATGTAAAAATATAAAAACTAGATAAAAAGAATTAAAAAGCTTTTGCAAATAAAAAATTCTTAATGGCTTTCTTAAACTTGTTTAAAGATTGGGTGTTTCTGATAGTGCCTGCAAGATTGTTCCACAATTTAGGGGCAGCCACATGGAAAGATCAATCACCGGGCATGGTGAGTATTTTGCCCTTGCAAGGAGCAAGGAGTAAGCCATCAATGGAATGCAAATCATATCTTCTGGTGTCTCTAACAGAAATCAGCTCACTTATGTAGGCTGGGGCAAGACCATGTTAATCGCTTTAAAAGTAGTTAAGATAATTTTAAAAAGTATGCGATATTTTACTGGCAGCCAGTTTAATGACTTGAGCAGAGGTGTGATGTGACAAAATCTACACTCCTGAAATATGAGGCATGCAGCTGCATTCTTTCATTATATACTTTCATCTTTCTAAATTTATAACGTTTTTAATTGGATCCTTTCTCACATCATTCAATTTATCCAGTAAGGTGAACAGAAATTCAGAGTAAACTCCCTCAACCAGGTTGTATTGTGGAATAAAGTAACTTGACAAAGTCTTTGTGGCCAGGCAATAAAACACGTCATCCAAAAGTCCAAGGAGATTGGCTGCCAAATTGTTATCTGTCCATAGGTGTGGAGGGTACCTGTGGCATGCTTGAAGAAACACCATTTTCAAGTGATACGAATGAAGAATATGAGGGCATTTTAAATGCCAGAATCTTATTTGTTTAAAAATTCTGTAACATGTTAAAGCTGCCGGAAATCGTGATGCTAATTCCTGTAACAGAATAAGTTCTACAACGCTGAAAGACAGTCTCCATTCTACTTTTGGTTGTCCACTAGGTGAACATTTCCCGACAAGATAAAGATGCTGTTGTTGTGCTTTATCCCAAGCCTCTTCGCTGAGCCAGTTCGGTTTCCCATGTACTGTTATCCACGACGGATACTCCCTTGGAAGACAATCATAAGGCAACTCTAATGCCACAACCAAATCGCAATTAATTGTAATCTTCTGGAAGTCTGTAGACATAGACAAAGTAACCGCTGGTGGATTGAATTCCAATCGGAATTTTTCAGTTAGTAAAGGGATTTGAGCGAAAATATGTTCAATTTGCTTGTACAAGTCTTCTACAATCAACAATGGATTAAGGTACATTTCTCCCTTTCTCTTGGGGTCGCTTGGGTGAATAGCAAAGGGAGCCCAAGTTCTTCTGTACTCCTCATCATTTAGATACACGACGAAGTATCCCTCGCTTGTATCTTCTTGCTTCATCAACATGGCGGGACTGTCCATAGATTTTCCGACTTTAACGTCTCGGAGCACACAGAGTATATCCATTTCGAATTCAAGATTAGGCTTTCCATCCCCATGCCTATCAAAATTAGGAATATTCACCCCTTCGGCTGTACTTCCAGTCCAGAGAAATTCGACTTCCTTGTACAGGGGGTGTTTCCGTAATGGCTTGTACAAACAATTCTTAATCGCGCCAAATACGGATGGAAACAATTGTTCCGATAAATCATCCATAAATTGAAAACCGCCTCCATGCTTTTGAAGAGCCTCATTGAGGCTAACGATTGAATTTCCTGAGAGACGATCAATTCCTGCTTCCGCCATGTTGTTTCCTTTCGGTAAACCTCTTGGTGTTTGAAGTCACATTTTGTCTACTACTACCATTGAGATCGACAATAAACCCTCAAGGCTAGAGATCCTTTATGAGGGGGGCTTTGGGACTTTCGGTTTTGACTGTTTTTTGGATCGGTTTTTCGGGTTTTGGGCCAAAAAGGTTCAGTTTTTCGGTTTTGATGTTTAGAGCGGTTTGCGGATTTTACGTGTTTTTGCATTCGGTTTTCACGAAGACTCCGATGCGGTTTTCGGTATTTCCTTATTGACCCCTTCAAAGGTGAAAATGTAGCGGTTTTGCTAGGTTTGCATGCGGTTTTCAGTTTTGCTGCCTTTTTTCGTCGGTTTTTCGGTTTCGGAGGTTTTTTTCCTCCGGTTTTGTGGTTTCCCAGAGGCCCCAATGCCCCCCCCCCTTAAAACACTTCATAAGATGCTGACAAGGAGAATTTGTTCAACAATCAAGAACATCTAGTTTGTGATCATATCCTTTATTCTTGAGACCATAATGTGTGATTCAAGAGTGACGTTGTTAGGAGAAATAAGATGCTAGTCACTCTTAAGGGTCAGATGGCTTTGAAAATATAGCCACCACCATACATCACTTGCAGCACCCATGGGCAAGATGAAGCAAATCCTGTGTTTTGATCGGCTGCTACCTGAGTGGGCAAAATGAGCCCATCTTGCCTGCTGGCAATTGCCCTCACGATTGATCCTGTGCATGAAAAAAATTGAATAAGAACTACATTTCGTAATTCTTGGACAATTTCAGCGATGGAAATGCTAAAAGTGGCAGAAGATAGTCAAAATAAAGAAAATAGAAATGACTCTCATGAGTTTGTTGTGCTGCAAACACAGTAGGCTTTCTTTCCTGGCTCTTGTAGTAAACAAGTAATTCTTAATTCTTAAGAAAGCAAAATCTTTTTACAATATAGATCCTTAATTAACCAAGCTTGTTCAGCCAAGATGGCTGGATATTAGTCTTGTTCTTTTTTTGCATTTTTATGGGCTACATTTATTTTGGCCCATAAAAATACAAAAAAAGAACTTTGCCAATACCCAGCTGGCTTGACCTCACACTTGTTTAATAATGCATATTTATGAGACATCTTGTAAAATTTAAGACAAATATATCATATGAGGTACTTACTCCAATCGTGACAATTCTAGGTCATGATTCAAGGGGAAATTAATGAAAATAATAATAATAGTAATAATAATAATTATTACTATTACCCACCTAAATAGGTGGGTGTTAAGGACCCTTTTAAACCAATTAGTAATGTCAGAAAGCCAAATCTGTAGAGGGAGCTCATTCCAGAGCCTTGGGCCTGTAATAGAAGAGGCCCCATCACCATATATGGTGTTAATACAGTCCTCTTGCATGAAATCCTGGGAGGCAGAGTGGAGCGAACTTGAGTGGGTGTAAGATATTGAACATCACATAAATATGTTGGTCCCATGCCACTGAGAGCTTTAAAAACTAAATTAGAGTAAAGCTTTAACTAGAATTCATGTTCCTTCCAGGAGAAAATAGTTGAAAAGCTCTCTAAAATACTCAGCATCCAACAGGGGTGTTATGCAAGAAAAATGGACAAATTTTAACAACTAGCTACCCCCAGAAAAAACGCTCATAACTTGCATTGAAAAAAATGTATTAACTTGTTTTTCCAACAATCAAATTTGAGGCATACACGCTTCATGGGGTGCATATACACTTAAATACAAAGGTCTAGACTACCCCTACTTATTAATTTCATTTTCCATACTCAAATGTTGCTTAATGCATGATTACCCTGATGGCATTCACAAAAAAAAAGCATACTCAAAGCAGCATATTAAATTTTGAAGCTAGAGTGTCTTGAAATCTTACAAAATGATGATACAAATATTAGGACTGATTCTATTCTATCATTTCCTTTTATCATACAAAAAATGTTACATGCAGCCTGATTACCAGAGCAATCACAACTTGATGCATACCCAATACTGGATATTTTGAAGTTAGTGTGTCTAGACAGCTTGTGATTTTCCAATACATGTATGTGGCAGAAATTCTTCAGATTCTACAGTTTTTAAAATAAGTCAAGACCTTAAAAATGAATCTTTAATTCTCAGAAGTGATTAACATGTCACCTCTCCCTTTAATATCAAACATTATCCAGCAAACAGGTAATGAAA